AAAATCCGAATAGATAGTTTTATTTAAAATGACAAATATTCGGGTAAATCTAAGAAAATATTATGAGAGCCCTAATGTTTCCATGTCTCATAGTACTGCTATGAAATACACATTAGTATGCTAAAACAAATAAATAATTTTATTATTTCATGCTTCGGAACCCACGGTGTGACTCAGACTCAAACTTGTCCGATTTTCTTACTTTTCTATCAGCGATAACGATTGTAGATTTTTAGCTTTCAAAGCCATTTCTGTTATTACCATATAAGATAAAGAAACCCTGTTTACTTACAATACTAAAAAAAACACAAGAAAGATAAATGATGTTTTAAGTAAGAAGTAATTTGTTTATTATTTTTAGTATTCATTATTTATTTATTGACTAGCGACTTATCCTCGAATGAGCCCTCAGGCTTATTGTGGTCGGGGTCATGTTTTAAGGTTAGTATAGATTTCTCAGAGGTATTTTCCCGCGATAAAAATTATCCTAAATGTTGACCCGGATAATCAGCTATCATCATACCAAATTTCAAAAACTGTCCAGTGATTTTCTTGTGATGTTTCCAGACAGACAGATTTTCCAAAAAAATATTTAAGTATTTATGTTAGGCAGTTATTTCTTTAAAAAAACTTGCCTTTTTTATATGGTATACATATTCTATATAGGTAGTATATATATGTACATAGGCGAAGGCAAAACGTTCAGTACCTTTTCTCCGCTGTTTGTCAACTGTTTTTTTTTCTTTTCGTTATCATCATTTTTTCATTCGCTATCAACGAACTTTATTGTTATTAATACAAAAAAATGTATAATGATTACGGACGAATTTCAAAATTTGTAGTAATAGTACAAATCTATACTAATATTATTCAGAGGCAGAGTTTGTTTGTTTGAACGCCCTAATCTCAGGAACTACTAATCCGATCTGAAAAATTATTTTTGCATTAGATAGCCATTTATGAAGGCTATAGACTATATATCATCATGCCTACCTAAGGCAGCGGAGTAGTTATCATAAATCTCAACAAATCGGTCTGATTTCCATACATCTTTGTAAAATTGATGTTTATAATCAAATAAAACGCGGGTGAAAACGCGGGCACAGCTAGTAGGTAAATAAAATATGCTTGTAGTATAATTATTTATTTACATAATAGATTTCTTTACATTTAAATATTTTTACAAGCTATGTGCTTATAATATTTTAAGCAATATCTAAGAAAATGAGCATTTATTTACTAAGTATCTCGAAACTAAATTTATTTTTCAATGTTTTCGAATTATATTTTTAAATTATATAATATAAATTTTCTGATTTTCTAACCACTTGGCATACATTTAATCTCTCGTCGATACACTTCTAAGCGAATTTGACTAGTAAGTATAAGATATTAGGTTCAATTCTTACTTGAAGCAATCTTATACTAAACATACTCTATCACATTATACAACACATAGATCACATTCGTTGCTTTTCATGTGAAAATAGACGAAATTTTCTTATTATATTTATCACTTTCACCATTTTTTTTATACTTAACTCTTTATTGATTAAATTTAAATTAAAACAAAAAAAATCATAACTAGAAAAGTGACTAGAATATTGTTGGTATATTAGTGGAAATAAAACTTATTATAATCCACAATTTATATTAATTTTTTTAAATAAAAAACAATTTTTTTTTAATTAAATTATATAAAATACGTTTTCAATTTTAAATAAAAAAAAATTATGTTACCAAAATCTAATTTATTGATATTAATATTATTTTAAAATATTTATAACATATTTACAAAAACCATATTACCTTTAAAGTGACTAGAATAAAATTTATTTTATTTGCTTATAATGAGGTCAGTTAAACACTACTTGCTGTTTCAGTTACTGAGTTAGAGGTCGCAGATACGATTCTGTTATGTTTTCATTTACCGTACAAAAATGGATACTACCCTTAAAATTGTAGGTTTTTTTTTTTATAGAAAAAAAGGGGCAAATGAGCAAACGATCCACCTGATGGTAAGTGGCTATCGTCGCTCATGGACATCTGCAACACAAGAGGAGTTGCGAATGCGTTGCCGGCCTTTAAGGGACCTATAGACATTACTCTTGAAGAGCCCCATATTATAGCGCTCAGGGAATACCTCGGGAGGAAGATCATTCGTGCACGTGCGGGGTAAAAAAGATCGAGACGCACGTACATTTGTAGAATGCCAAGCATCTAAAATATGTGGATGACATCCTACCCGACGGCGAAGGGTGCGATGATAGAAGCGCGACGGTGGCACCATGTCAAAAAGTTCATCAGAACACTCTCTATTGTATAGACGATAGAAAACACACAGAGAGCCAACATCTCTCCGAAGGCTTAGAGTGTCTAAGTCGTCTGTGAGTTCGGGATCGTTGACAATACGAACTGCCCGGCGTTGGATAGAGTCAAATGGAAGAAGCTGGTATTGGGGGGCGCCGGCCCAGAGATGAGAACAGTACTCCATGAGAGGGCGAACCTGTGCTTTATAAAGCAAAAGTCGCTGCCCTGACGTGAAATACTGTTTCGCTCTGTTAAGGACACCCATTTTTTTTGAAGCCAATTTGGCTTTTTCTTCCAGATGACATCTAAATTGGACGTCGCTCGATATTTCGACCCCTAGGATCCCGATACTCTTACAGATGTTAAGAGAAGTGTTCTGGAACTTTGGCGCTATAGTGAATGGGGTTTTTTTCGTGGAGAACGCACAAACTTGTGTCTTTGAGGGGTTAAACTGGACGAGATTTCGTCGGCCCCAATCGGAGATCTGCTCTAGGGAAGTCTCGATTTCAGACACAAGTTGGACTCTGTTCTCCTCAACCTTAGCCCGAGAGATGCTAGCTCGGCCAGTATAATAGGCATCGACTGTACTGTCATCTGCATAGCAATGAGCGTTGTTAGTTAACAACATATCGTTGATATGCAGAATAAACAGTGTAGGCGATAGCACTGAGCCTTGGGGTACGCCAGCGTTGATTGGTTTTAACATATTTTGGCAATAAATACATATTATAATAAAACTGTAGATGTCCAATATCTGTACATAGATTTTTTTTTTGCTAAAAACCAAATCAAGGGGGTGTAAGAAGAGAAATAGAACAAATCCAGCTTTTTTTTTCAATTATCTTGTTTCTCAGTCTGTTTATCTGTTTGACTGTTTGTACAGGCTAATCTCCAAAACTGTTGGATCGATTTAAATGAAAATTTGCATGGTGGTACTTTATATCCCTGGTCAACATTTTAGATACTTTGCATCTCGGAAAACTAAAACGTGCTCGTAGGATAGTTAAAAAACTATAGTAACTTATACAGCTTAGTACACAAAAACTACTGATTGGATTTTTATGAAACTTTACAATAATATAGTTCATACATCAGAATAACAAATAGGTTACGTTTTACCCCAGAAAAATGTACAGGTTCCGTGGGTTATATTTGTGCTTGTTTGTCTAATTAGTATATAATATGTACATATTATATGCTAGTATATGTACTTTGATTAGTTAGTTTTATATTATATTCCTTTCAAATTTCAGCGCCTTTTTCCGGCTGCCAAATATCTCAAAGCAAATATTTGCACTGACTTTTTAGCAATACGTTCTTATAATTTTTTTAATTAAAATAGTACTTACTATGACCTATCCAAAGGTTTTGATAATTTTATACCACTTAATCCACATAATATGGGGTTTATCATTATTTTTGTGATTTGAAACAGTAAATTAAACTACTTGTTTTAGTTATAATGTTTTTCTTTTCGTTGTTTAAGTTTCTGATATTTCGAAACTATTATAAGCGATTTGGTCATGGGATTGGTTATGGGGAAGTGGGTTAATTTTTATGAACTTCAAACTGTCTCGTATATAGTATAATATTTAAAATTGGTTGATTAAAAATTTGTATGCCATTATTCAAAAATCATGGTCATGATTATATAATTTGACGACACGTTTTGCTCAGTTTGTAGTAATCTTACTAGCTGTACCAGCGGTCGCGGATTCGAGTCCCGCTGGTGGTATTTATTCATTTGTGTGATGAGCACGAATGTTTGTACTCCAGTCATGGGTGTTTATATTTATAATTTGTATGTATTTAAAGTTATATATGTGTAGTGTATCAACTGTCTGGTATCCATAACACAAGCCTCGTAGCTTACCATGGAACTAGATGGTGCTGTGTGTTAATGTCGCAATATATTAAAATTTTTATTTATAATAGTATATTAAGCTTTCACTATAATATAATAAGTTGAAAATTTCGTTGTTTATTTTTATCTACCAATTATATTTTATTATACAATTAAATTTGAATAGACTGACGCTTACATTAAAAGCCGTGAGAAAAACCATACTAATTACCTCCAATATACAATTTGGTCAAAGTAAATGAAATTAAATTTACACTAACCTAATGTAATGATCTATCTAGCATTATGTTATATACATAACTACTCACGATTACTTCCGTTATATACTGTTTTCATATAACTCTATTGGTTTACGCGGTGCGCGCTAATAAAGCTCCTATTCAGCATAAGTTTTTCCAAGATCTTTAACAATCGTCCTTATGCTTTAGCCAATTTACAATAAATTTTAATGAATTATACACATTCTGTCTCCAGTTTTCCTTATGAATCACTCCGTATATTTGTGAAAACCGTATGAAAATCGGTTTAGTAGTTTTTGAGTTTATCGCGTGCAGGCAGACAGTCGCAGCGAGTTTGTTTCATAACATGTTTGTGATATACAATTTACGTTCTCATATTTTGATTTCCATTACTTTTAAAAACCAATTTTTGTTTTAAATATCTTATAAAACACTGATAAATAAGGATGTTAATATTTTAATCTACTATAAGAAATACCTTAAGCTATACAAAAAAAAATTAAAATATCATTTTGCTACATTTTTTCAACTATGATACATAATTAAAGTATAATAATTTAATATAACCGATACTTATAGTTAATTTATAAGAACTGAGCTTTTCTGTCTTTATCTTTCCAAGTGGGCTCCCTCAGAGAGGGCCGCGCGACCCTCCCATACTGTATGCTGGGAGAGTGACGACTCTGATTGCTACTACGAAATGTTACTGTAGTGCAAGTGCGTCCACTAGACGTGTTGGATTTTTGACGTATGCCTTGCATCTGAAATTTAAAAATTATTAATTCAATACTAATTACTAGTAATAATTAGAAATATTATTGACGAGGGATTCACCCTCGCGTCGTTTCGGGTTCTTCCCTAGAACAAAAACAAATCTATCCCACGGGAACCTTGCATTTTCTGGGATGACATATATCCTATAGCTTTCCTCAATAAAGGGCTATCTAATACAAAAAGAACTTTTTAAATCCGATTAGTAGTTCCTGAGATTAGCGCGTTCAAACAAACAATGTCTGCCTCTTTATAATATTAATATAAATTTTTAAACCAGGTACCTTATAATATAAATTTAAAAAGGTGGTATAATATATTTGGTAAAATAGTACCTACTAGATACAAATAACTTTAAAAATAAAAATGGTTTGGATTCTACTTTTTTAAAAAGATCTACGTCTATACATTTAGGTAAGCAAGCCATATATTATGTCAGTTTAGGCGTTAAATATATCAGAAATATAACCAAAAGTTGTATAAAAACGAAGCTTGAGCTATGAAAGTACTAAAGTAAGAAGACAATAACATTTTTATTCAAGGCCTAGTTGAGATATTCTACAAAAATGTTTTTATAAGGTTTTGAAGTTTCACTAAGAAAACACATACATACATATTACATATAAAATGTATATAATTAAAAAATAGACACGTAATCGATAGTTTTGAATCGATTCAATTATTTTATTTATTTTTAAATTTCTTTATTTAATCCACATAAATTATTAAATTAAGTACATTTCTAGTGTAAATTTAATCCTAGAAGTACATATTAAATACTATTATATTTGTTTAACAAGTACACAGACTTATATAAAACTTATAGCAAAAGGTAACATGTGCATATAAATAATTTTTATTAATAATTGAACAGTATATCATTTAAAGTATGTAGGCTTTAGAAAAGCGATTACATTTATATCATAATTTTATACAAAGAAAAATAAACCGTGGTCGGTAGATGTAAATAAAATACCAACTAAAAGCAGTCAGCAGTAAGCAACAAGAACGTAACATGTTATCTATCGCACACGCAGGCGAGTGAGCTCGCACCGCGGCGCGCGCGCCATTTCCGATCTTATATTACACGGTAATGCGATCGGGAATAGCACTCGCGGCAGCGGCAAGAGCACACGCGCCTGTGTTGACGAATGTTCCTATACAAATGGTTCATAGTCTAGGAATAAGTGATGCGGCAATTTGTTTCGATTATATTTATCGACATTAGGAAGATTATTTTTACGACTTTTACATATATTATTTATTAGTTTGTTTTTGTGGTTAGTATTTTGATGGATATAGAACTTTTCGGATAATTTATAAATATAAACATCAATTGTTGGAAGACCTATTTGATAATGTAACTTGTGGAGATTAGTGCGAAATGGAGTATTAAAGGCATATTTGATAGCTTTATTTTGTAAAGTCTGTAGCTTTTTAATGTTCGTTTTGCAAGTGCCGCTCCAAACGGGGCATGCGTAGGTAATGCATGGACGTACCAGGGTGCAATAAATACGTAGCTTTGTGCTACTACTTAGACATGAGCGCCTATTTAATATTGGATTTAGGGCATTTAATGCTTTAATACCTTTAAGTCGTAGAGTACAAGTGTTTTCGGTCCAGTTGAGCTTACTGTCGAGCTTTAAGCCAAGATATTTAACTGTTTTGCTCCAAGGTATAGTATACCCTCCAATTTTCAGCGTTCGAGATGGTAAAGTTCGCTTTCTAGTAAATAGAATAGCTTCTGTCTTAGATGCATTTATTTTAAGCTTCCATTTATGGAAATAGAATAGAAGTTGATCAATGGAGAGTTGAAGTCGATCTATTATCAAGTTTATATCTGAGGAGGTAGTAAAAGAGGCTGTGTCATCTGCAAAACAGGCTAAACTTGTCCGTGGTTGAACCGGGATGTCGTTTAGGTAGAGAAGAAATAAATATGGTCCTAATATTGAGCCCTGTGGCACCCCTGCGGGTATTGGTTTTGAGATAGATGAGTAACTATTGATGTGGACTCGAAAACTGCGATCATTTAAGTATGACTGGATGATTTTTATAAGCGGAAAAGGCAGCCCAAGTCTTATGAGTTTATGAAGTAAGGCATTGTGCCAGACAGTATCAAAAGCTTTTTCTATGTCTAATAGAAACATACCCGTTGATTGTTTTAAATTTAAATTATGGGAAATAGTTTCAGCAACCCTGGCAAGTTGTTGGACTGTGGAATGGCCTCGTCGAAACCCAAATTGTACATCGATGAGATGATGTTCGGATACACGAAGTAATCGTTTAAAGATTATCTTTTCAAAAAGCTTGCTAAGGCAGGGTAAAAGACTAATTGGGCGATAGCAGGTGGGATCTGTTGCATCCTTACCCGGCTTATGTATGGCAATAACTTTCGCAACTTTCCATGGAGTTGGAAAATAATTAAGCATAAGGCAAGAATTAAATATTTTAGTTAAGAGAATAATAGACTTTTGTGGGAGATTTTTAATGAGTATGTTACTGATGTGATCAGGTCCAGGGGCTTTACGGGGATTTAAACTATATATAATTTTCTTAATTTCAACTGGGCGGACAAGCTTAATGGTTTCATTAGACGTACTTTCGTTAAGTTCAGCTATGGATTGGTCAATAGTTGGCATAATATCACTTTGCCAGTTATGAGTTAAAAGCATGTTAGTTTCGAAAGTATTTGCAAGGACGTTACATTGTTCTTGTTGGGTTGAAGTAAACGAGCCATCTTCACATTTTAATTTCGAGATAGGAGAAGTTGTGGTGGAGCGGATACTTTTCACCAGTCGCCAGAGGTCAGACCCGGGATTATCAACCCTTTTTAATTTAATATTCCATGTTTTATCATTATAGGCGAATCGATTCAATTGACCAAAATCCAAAAACATAAATTGAAACTGATATACAAATTAATTATAGATTATGAAAAAAGAGTAAAAAACAGAGACAAAGCCACAGGTAATAGTAATCTAAAACAAATATTTCCATAGCATATGTGTTAGTACTAATTCTAATTGGTAACCACTACACGTTATTTTAAATAAAACTATATTCTTGGATCTTTTCGCGGATATAGCGGATATATTTTGATTTTTGGTGTCTGATGTTTCAAATGCTTTATTGCAATCATGATCACGTGACCACGGTCTGTCACGTGATCGAAAGTGAAAGATAGTTTTACTTAAATTGTCTAAGGCCGTTGTACTAAGGCCCTTTTCCCACGAGGCTACTGACAAGCGACTCGAGCTTTGTATCCGTATGCTACAAATATCTTATAAGTAGCCGCTATGATCTGCGCACGACGTGACACGTCTTCCTCTAAATCACGTAATTTAGAAATATCTCTGAGGGAAAGAGGCCTAAGAAAGTATCACTACATGTTAACTACATAAGTCATTATCTATATGTGCGCCATAAACTTACATGAAAATGAGTACTAGAGTGTATGTTACCGGGGTCGTGGCAGAGAAGCTTACGGAGAGACCGGCGGAAGTTCCGCGTCATGAGACAGTACACAATGGGGTTGATAGCCGAGTTTGTATGCCCTGGAAGTAGAATACGCCATCAGTTTTCTATGCGTAGCTGTAGTTATAGAGTAAGGAATTACTTAGAAACGTATTTCAGTGATGGATTGAACACTGTATTAGATTTTTTGTTTACTTATGATGAAATAAAAGTTTTAAAAAGCCTTTCGAAGATTTCCATTTCATTTGTGAAATTGGCCACATTTAAAAAAAAATAAAATAAAACGCTAGTGATATAATAATAACAAGTAATATTCACCTAATAGCAATGTGTATGGTAATACTAAAGCCACTGAGTCCACTTGTACAGCGTTTACGTCGATCAAAAGCTGTAAAATGTTATATGGTAGCCAGCACAGAGCAAACAGCACAGCTAACAGCAGCAGTATCCACGCTACACGTTTTCTCTCACGGACCAGTCTTAGTCTCTGGAAAATGAACAATTAAGTACAAATTATTTTAAAATTATTATTAAGGTGGATTAATTACAAACTAATATAAATGCGAAAAATGTGTGTATGTCTGTGTTTGTGTGTGTCAGTCCGTGTGTATGCGTGAGTGCGTGTGCGTGCGTGAGTGATTGTGTGTGTATGTGTGTGCATGCGGTCTTGCGCGTGTGTGCGTGTATATGTTATGAGTTCACATTGAAACGGCTGTTTAAATTTGTATGAAATTCAGTAAGCAGATTTACTATGACATTGTATTATTATATTGAGTATGATGATGAGTATTATTATATTGAGTAGCACATAGGGTACTGTTCCTATATCCTAACTTTAACGGTCGATCTTTCTTAACCATACTTAAGAATAGAAATAAATAAAATCGGCGTACATATTTCTCGAGACGTCTCGTGTCATGTATATAAGAAACATACACATTTTTTAAAGTCACCCAAACATGCAATTATCGATCGAATCGAATGAATATTAAACTCAATCCTGACTTATAAGGATTTTTGTATAGACCATACAAAACAACTATATATTATACAAATTAAAAAGCCAACAAAGTTTCTTTCGTTTCGTTTTTACAAAAGAACCTTTACACAAAACCTATTTAGTTAGCAATAGGTTTTAATACATTAGTCCCTATTAGATCGTTAACTTACGTGTTGTCACAAGTGAGATAACGATTATTGCCCTATACCCCTAAAATGAGGGTAGGACAAGCACTTAAGTCCTTGACTGTTGGGACTATTTATCCCAACTATATATATATATATATATATATATATATATATATATATATATATATATATATATATATATATATATATAGTCGGTTTTTATATTTTTTTATGAATATGTTAGATTGTAACGATCTACCCCTATTTTTAAATAAAATCCGCACTTAATAATTATTTTATAAGTTTTATAAGTAGTTTAATAAAACATAATATAATAAAATAAACAATTGAACTCTCGATTTTTTGTATTCAGAGAATCATTTAGATATTGAATAAGCAAATATAGTAATGTTTAGAATGCAATGGTAGTACTATATTATATACATTTAACCGAAATTCAGATTTATTAAATTTTACATGATATAAATAAACGATTTTTCTTATTAATTGCTAACCAAATATTCAGTTCCGAAAACTCTTTAAGAAAGCTCATGAGTATTCGTAAACTTATACAAAAGTAAATTCGTTACTCCGCGAATAAAAGCTTCGTGAAAAGCAAACTAGTAAGAAAATGTGTCCCCAGAGAACAATTATTTATATTTGGCGTATATTGTATAAACGTATTTCTATTTTATTCTATTGTACCATTAGTTGCTGTAATGAATTGGAAGTACACATAAGTTTTTAAACTAAGGTTTAATATCTTTTAACTCCTAAGATCCTTATATTTTTGTCATATGCGGTATATATCCGTCTGTCTGTGTGTTTCAGTTTTACTCAGAGTTGTTTAAGCTATATGGCTGCAGTTGGATAAGTAAGTGTCTTATTTATATCAACTGCTAGACGATACTGCAGTTAAATTTAAAAAAATAATAATACGACATGAACCTCCATACATGTAACTGAGCATGAAAACAAAACAGATTAAAATTGGGATGTTTCTTAGTGTTTTTTTTTTAATTTTATCCCATCTCTTAACTAATCCATTATGTTTTCATCTTCATGCTTTTTTGAGTTGTAGATTAAAAAAACATAAAACTTTTCTTTATTACTCTTCTAGTTACGATATATTTATAAATTATAAAATTACCTGTTGACTGTTTGCACTGCCTTCTGACTGATCGAAAGGTGGCAGCACTGAGCAGAGCCGCCTACCCATGAGGGAGTAAGATACAACTACGATGCAACCTAGAAATAATTTTATAAAAATATATTAAAAATATTTCATTAACAGTAATACAACAACTATATTTTGTACCAATAATGCAATATCAACCTTTGAGACGTCTTAAGTCTCTTCTGTGACCATGATCGCTGTAAAGCTTTCGAAACGTCAGAAACCAAAAATCAAAATAAATCAGCGAAAAAATCCTAAAAGATAGTTTTTTTTAGTTTTAGAAAACTCCTAAAAACTTACATTTTGATAAAAAATACTTTTCTAATGTTCTGGTAAATTATTTTAAAATTTTCGCATTTCCATAATTGATCATAATTACACTACGGGACCTTAACGTCTGAATTTGTTAGTGGCTATTTACCTTATTCCTGACGTTTCAACTGGATTGCACCAGCCGTGGTCACGGGCAGACCCAACTCAGTCTGTCTCATATACGAGTATATTCTATGTATGATATAGCGCAGAAGTATGATCATAAACATTTTCAATTCGTTCGAAGGTAAGCCGATACGACCGAAGCAAGATTAGAATGTACCGACAGCTCTACGAGTATATGTTTTAAGAGACACGCACCTATTTTTTTTAAATATTAGAATGGTTTAATATATATATATATATATATATATATAATCTTTATTGGTATGGACCAGTTGACCTAGTTCCAACTAGTCTGTACTTAATGTACTTATATGGACACCAGACGCTCGAGTGGGTCCGGTTCCCTTTGAAGGTTCTTAACCAAAGGGTCTATTTGATGTATCGATTGATCGTTTGTGCAATGTACACCATGTAAAACCAACTAACCATGTATGTATGTACATCAGTGGCGAAGTGTGAAATTTTATCAGAGGTAAGCCATTCCAAAAATATAAAATTTTTATATATATATATATATATATATATATATATATATATATATGAGAACATTTATACATTAAAAAAATAAAATGTATGTAAAATTGTAGCAAAATTATTTTAAGGTAAGACGTCTTGTATGGAACCTTCGCTACTGATGTACATACTCGTATATAATTTGTATGATCACAGCCATAATTTTGACAGCTATTTAATTTGACAACATTACATAATATATTTAGTCATTTATTCTGTTTTCTTTTTCAAAGTATCTATATAATTTTATTATTCTTCATCCCACTTTACATTTGAAGCCTATTTTTCATATTTCTTTATAAGATTGCTTTATGAAACCTGTCAAAGGCATAAATTGAAACGCTGATTTTTTCTATACTATGAATATTTTATTATTATAATATGTTATTGGCTTGGTATATAGACGCGTACTTAACTTACGTTACTTAACTTTATAATAATATATTTATTTGCACGATAACAAAGCCAAGAAACGATACTTTTGGGAGATTATTGGTTATAATAAACAGATATACACTTATATATTTATATAGTTAGTATAAGTTTTTCTTAGAGGAGAAAACAAATACAAACCTATCCACGGGAACCGTAATTTTCCGGGATGAAAAGTAGCCCGTGTGTTATTCCCGACTATAATCTATCTCTGTGCCAAATTTCATCCAGATCCGTTGAGCCGTTCTGGCATGAAAGAGTAACAAACATCCATACTCACAAACTTTCACATCCATACATATAATAAAATTGTAACCAAGTCGAATCTGTACATTAAATATTTTTTGGAAAATCGAATTGAAATAGACATTATTATCGATACTGAGGCCGAATTTAAAGTTTTTAGAATTTTTATCTGTCTGTCTGTCTGTTACCGCATCACGAGAAAACCACTGGACAGATTTTGACGAAATTTGGTATGATGATAGCTTTTTACCCTGGGAAAATATGTCATTTCTGAGAAAAAAAAACAAAAACTGCAATGTTAGTATACTAATATGTAAAACCTAAGAATTTGGTTTTTGGTCATCTGAACGCGGGCGGAGCCGCGGGCATTTCTAGTTTATAATATTAATATGGATTTTAAAATAATACACAGATACTATTTTTATTGGTTATAATATAATATACATATAAATGTAAGTATAGAGTAGTAGTTAAGATATAATAACTTTACATTATCAATACTTAATTGAAAATATATACCTAATAACTTCAAATTAATTTTTAAAGTCCACATCGAAGTGGATTTTTTCTTTTAATTTTATTAACTTTTTTAATTTCATTTTAAGTGGCAAAGATATCTCGTTATAAAGCTATAAAAAATCAATCTAAACTAAACAATTCCTCCTTCTTTGAAGTTGGTTAAACTACGCAGGTATTTAAATACCATAGAACTTTTAGTTAGTAAATGAATTTGACGCATAAAGTAAATTTGTTAAACGTCGCTTATTCAAATCCTAATAATATTATAAATGCGAAAGTTTGTGAGGATGTATGGATGTATAGATGTATGAATGTTTGTTATACTTTCACACAAAAACTAATGAATGGATTTTAATGAAACTACAATTGAGAATAACAAATAGGCTACTTTTTATCTCGGAAAAATCGTACATTTTTCCCTTGGGATGGACTTGTTTTTGTTTTTCGAGGGTGAGTCGCTAGTTATTGATAAATATTTTAATAAAAGGCAGAGGCACCGCTGAGATTGCAAACGCGTCTCGACGTTATCTGAAGTTTTATTTTCTTTAATTAAAGATTTCATTTCGCTAAGAAAATTTTCAACTAAATATTTTATACTTAAAAATTTCTCAAGTTAATTGGTTAAATAATTGGATTAGATCTTCAAAAAATTATAAATTGATTGACTCATAAAGTGTAGTTCAAACGAGATAAGACAGTTGGCGATTAGGTCCATTAAAAGAATATTATATTTTAGATTTTTGTGTATAACTAAATATAATTCATAATGTTTTTAAGAAATCACATTTATAATAATCAAAATTATTATTATTATAATTATTATTTTTGATAAAATTAATTTTAAAGTATATTTAAAACTTTAAATATACTTTAAAATTAATTATATCTGTGCGTATGATACATAACACTCCTATTTTTCATGGAAATCTATGTACTTTATTTTACACAAGAATTTTAAAAATCTTTTATTTTATTATTAAAGTTTATGGTGTTTAATGACCTTAATGAAACAAAATTTAAGTTTTGTATAAATATTAAGTTAATGGTTTTAAGTAATATATAATTTATTTATTGTTCATTTTTTTTAAATAATTAATAATACTTATACTGCTTTAGTTCCGAGTCCGTCAATACTTAAAAAGAGTAGATGACTTAAAATTACATTGACAAATAAAAATAACGAAAAACAAATGTAAATTAATATAAAATGAAAATAACAATATATGGAAAGCTAAAATAAATAAATAAAATACTTACATATATTATTAAATTAACTCTTTACTTTAACTGTGACAATTTAATTTGTATATTTAAACATTTTTTCAGTTATCAAAGCGAATAAAAATTACATATAAGCTTTATTTAAGTACTCACCGGGCACCGCATATACGAGTATGAAACTGAAAGCTCCAAAAAGCTCCTTTCTTATCGAATCAGGCCATTTTTCTGTACAGAACTCTATACGACTCTCTATCCATACCTGGAAAACAAACAAATATAAATAATGAATATAAGCTTCAGGAATACCTAAATCAGTTAGTGTATTAGAATAATGTCCCACGGAAGTGAAACTAAGGCCTAAAAACCAATAAATAAATATGTCGGGAGATTAACATACAGCACCATCTAGTTTTGTGGTAAGCCCCGAGGCTTGTGTTATGGATACCAGATAACTAACTTTAAATACATACAAATTATTAATATAAACACCCATAACTGAAGTGCAAACATTCGTCCTAATCACATAAATGAATGTCCCCTGCGTGACTCGAACCCGCGACTGCTGGCATAGCAAGTAGGGTCACTACAAACTGAGCGAAACATATCGTCAAAAAACGAAAATATTATTCTATACTATATTATTAGACTATATTTTTTACATTTAAGATTGCCATTTAACAAACTCATTAAAATTTTGCTGTCATTGACTATAAAGGTACATTGTCAGAGTAATTAATCCATTGAGATTGAGATTCATCTTGAACTATAATATCTATATAAATTAATTAAATGAACTCAGTTTCCAGAACAATTGCTTAAACGATTTCTTTATTTATTATCTAGCGTCCCACTTTGTATACGCCCAGACAAAAAGTGATTTTAAGAATTATATACATATTTTATATAAAAAAGGCAGTGGTAGCCCAGTGGTAACACGCTCGCTTGGGACACCGAGCGAAGCGGGTTCAAATCCCGGGTCTCGCACCTCTGATATTTTCATGTGCGAATCATTTCTAACATGATTACCGCTTGCCTTACGGTGAAGGAAAACATCGTGAGGAAACCTGCATGTCTGAGAGAACCTAGCAAGTTTTCGAAAGACATGTGAAGTCCGCCAACCCGCACTTGGCCAGCGTGGTGGACTATGGCCTGATCCCCCCCCACGTATTGAAGGGAGGCCCGTGCCCAGCAGTGGGACATTAAAAAAGGCTGAATACATACATATTTTTACAGACTATCTGTACGTACAAACTACATGTGTATATAATTAATGTTATAATTAGTTTTACATATCTAATTATCCCTTACAAAGCACGTATTTAACACGCTTCGTAGTATCGAACGTATGATGTGGTAACCGATACATATCAACAAAGACAATAATTTTAATTTCGTTTTTACCCGCAACGGCCATGGAGGCGGTATACCTATATGCATCTGTTACCATTTTTCTCGTAAACGGCTAAGCCAATTTTGAAATGGTTCATTCCTTTGTATAACTCTCATTCCTGAGCATGTTCTTAGCTAAGTATTGTAATATTACAGACCGCCAGGGATTAAAAAAAAATTGAAGCTTTTTATATGTCACAATTTTCCGTCGTGTTTTACTTTTTAAATTTTTAATTTATATTTTACAGAATATTTTCTTAGATTTACGCGACTATCTGACATTTTAAATAAAAGTACATAATATCTTTTCGGATTTGTTCGCGGATTTATTTTGATTTTTGGTTCCCGACGTTGCGAATGCTTTACAGAAATCATGGTCACGGGAGAGACTGAGGTGTTAGATGTTTCAATTTTTATATAAAATTTATGTCATGTCACATCCATATTCATTTCCATATTAATATTATAAATGTGAAAGTTTGTTAGTATCTATGGATGTTTGTTACTCTTTCACGCCAGAACGGCTGAACAGATCTAGATAAAATTTAGCACAGAGATAGATTATAGTCTGGAATAACCAATAGGCTACCTTTTATCCCGGATAAATGTACGGTTCCCGTGGGATAGGTTTGTTTTTGTTTTCCTAGAGGCGAACCCGAGGGAATTTATTATAAATATGACATGTGGACTTCATAAATAAATAGTAATGGAGTCATGTCTAGTCGTCATTTGATATTTTTCCATTTAATTTTATATTTCTTTGCCTAAATGCCTCTTAATTAGAGATCGCCTGGTGGGATTTCAATTAATCTTAATTAGAACGCTTCAAACAATTTATTTTGGCTTACTCTATAACTTAAAAGTATTAACTAATTCCAATTGACTAGTAGATTTAATTTTAATTGATCTAAAGGTTCTTTGAACTTGCTGTAACATTTTTGGTAATGTTGTAGTAGGGGAGCCCAAGAGGGGATTTTCTGTAGTTACTCAAGCACGGCAGATTAACATGTACGCTTGAGTAACTACAAAAATCCCCTCTTGGGCTCCCCTACCATTGAGAAATGTATTTACACATCTCACCTGGATACATACAAGCAAGAAGAGCCAGTTAAACTACTAACGAATTAAACCCTTACTTTCTTATCAGGCCACATGAACATACCTAGTAACCGGAATCATAAAATATTTAATTGCTTCAGACTCAATTGACTTATACAAATACAGCTTTTAATTCTGATAATATTTATAAATACATTTCGACAATTATTATTGTTACATAATTTTATTAATAACTGGCTTGTATCCTATGTCCTTTCCAGGGTCTCAAACTATCTTCTTACCAAATTTCATTAAAATCGGTTCAGTAGATCCAGAAATTACCCCCTACAACGTCACAACATATTTTGGCACACTCTTAGGGCTCTACTTTGCTTCTTAGTGAGAACCCAGGTTTGTGTTCCATAGATTAAGCATGATAGTATGCATGAATCGATTACTGTAGTTTTGTCTTTTAGTAGTATGTCTGGATTCTTCAGAATTTCTTTGAGGGACCAAAAACTTTTCTAAGCCTTACACTTATTTTGTCGTTTATTTCTTGCAGCATCTGATTTTCCGGTGTAATAATTTGTCCTAAATATAATAAGAGTTTGAATCAAATTTATTTAATAATTTTAAAATAGCAGGCCATGACAGTAACAAATCGTAATAACCTCGAAAAATCTAAAGTTGAAAAAAGTTCAATTAAGTTTTTTCTTTCCCCTAATAGCTTTCGATTGGAATATTATTATGATTAATTAAATTTTTTCTTTAAAGAAATCATAATCAGTAGGTATCACTTATAAAATATTTTTAAAAGAAAGTCGGCCTCCACAAAGTTTATTTAGAAATGTACGTATTATCAGGAATTGATGTATTCATAATAATAATATTTAATACACATAATAAGTTGGGACATTAACACACAGCACCATCCTGGTCCATGATAAGCTACGAGGCTTGTGTTATGGATACCAGATAGTTGATACACTACATATATTCAACTTCAAAACAACTAATAATCGTACATACATAGTATAAATGTGGCCTCATGACTGGAGTACAAACATTCGTGCACATCACACAAATAAATGTCTCCAGCAGGACTCGAACCCGCCACCGCTGACACAGCAAGTAGGATCACTACAAACTGAGCCAAACGTATCGTCGATATTTGAATGTAATAAAATATAATAGAATGCCTTATATCTAAATGGATTGTTCATATTATTGCGTGGGCTGTCGTTGTCTCCAAAAATATTTATTAATATATTCATATCTATTGTAAATAAAAGCTCCTTTCTTATTTATTACTATACCAGCTACTTACCCTCGCTAGGGTGTCCTTGTGTTTGAATGGCTTAGGAAGTTAAATAATGATATAAATTTTTGAGTTGAAACTTAGCATTGCTTTTAATTTATTCCATTATCATTTAGCTTTTATTAATAAATTTAATTATTAATTAACAGGGTTTATTAATATTTTATTAATTAAAACGGTAAAGATTTCGTTGGGTTTTACTGGGTACTACCAACTTTTTTTAGCCGGCGAGTCTCACATAACCATCTGTATGTAATATGGCTAAATGCATTTTTTTTAAATGCACAGGTATTCCTGTAACTTTTTTTTAAATCAATCAATCTGAATTTTATTCTAACTTATAGCTAAAAAAGTTAAACTTTTACACCTTATTATAATTAAGTAGAATAAATGAGTCTGTAAATAAAAATCTTTTTTAAATTACTACAAGGCTTATTATAGCAGTAAGCGGGCTTATTTTCATTTTGTTAGCAATCACTTAACATAACAAGTAGCTTAATTAGTAGGCGAGTTAAATTTCACTATAGTGATTGAATAAAATAATAATGTTCTGAATATTTTTTTAGTTTTTAATGTAAGCCAGTTTAGAGAGTAAATAGTTATTTTTCATATAAATTATACTATTTTTACCCCTTTATGGATTTAAAAATTTGGCCTGAATATAGTTAACGTATAACGTTTATTGTTAAAAAATTCTTAATAGTAGCCAAGAGTTAGTAGTCACCCCATCGAATTTTGAGAGTAAAAAGAATGGAGAGTACACTTGTGTCTAAGCCTTCGATATATTTAGATATAAAGACGCAGGAAAGGTAGATTATACTCGTAATATATAAGTTTAACAAATATATATAAGGTAGTGGTAGCCCAGTGATAACCAGCTCGCTTGAGAAACGAGGGAAGCACGTTTAAATCCCGGGTCTCGCACCTCTGATATTCACATGCGAATCATTTCTAGCACGATTAATACCTGTCTTACGGTGAAGGAAAACGTCGTGAGGAAACCTGCATATCTGAGAGAATCTAGCAAAAAGGCATGTGAAGTCCGCCAACCCGCACTTGGCCAGCGTGGTGGACTATGGCCTGATCCCCCTCGTATTGAAGGGAGGCCCAGTAGTGGGACGTGCGTAAAAGGGCTGCATAAAAATAAATATTTATACATTTAAAAATGATTTACGTTATTTTATAAGCCGTAATTTAGCTGGTTTCTTTGTTAGTTAGTTTCTTATAAGAAAATACGTGCAGCATAAGTTTGAACTATATTTTTCAAGTATTATCTTCAGACTTCTTATTATGCTTGTAAAAAAAGGTCCTTTGCTGCAGTTTTTCAAAGCTACGTTTAATTTTATAGAAGCTTGTTTACAGTTACAGTATAAAAAAGTATCCGTCTGTGGTTTAAAACTGTTCTTTGTTAATATTATTATTAATTATTAACTTGTGTCCTTCCCAGGGTCTTAAACTATCTTCTTACCAAATTTCATTAAAATCGGTTCAGTAGATCCAGTCATACCATGATA